TCAATATCGTTGATTACTTTGCCTTCCTTGTTTTTCACTGGTCTTTCTGGTTGACGGTAATTTCCAGCAAGTTTCTTTGTTGTATCATACAATTGTCTCATGTTTCCCTCTCTTGCAGCCTTTTCCGCTGTCATCGCTAAATCTTCCACATATTTACGTTTGTCGGTCCTGATGCTCCTCTTCACTTGCTTGTTTGCCTCTGTGTATTCGGCTTGTGCCTTGGCTTTTTCTGCTCTGGTTCGGCTGATATTGATTGCTACCTTCTTGTTCCTCCTTGCTTCAATTTTATCCAGTGTACCAACAGTGATCCATTCCTTGTGATGGTGCTTCTTATGGCCCAGAACCTCCTGACATGTTGAAACGATTGCCTCCTTGATACCTTTCCAGCTGCTCTCTATGCTGGTTCCCTCTCCATTGAGTAGGTCATGAAAGGCCTCGAACCTGTTGCTGAGGGCTATGTTAAATTCGTTGAGTTTGTCAGCATCTCGAAGAAAGGCCGTGTTAAACTTTTGTGATGTTGTCCGCGCCATTGTCCAGTGCTTCTTGAGTTTTAGTTTCATCTTGGTGACCAGCAAATGGTGATCGGATGCTATATCAGCTCCTCTTCTGGTTCTCACATCCTCCATCGTCCTCCTGAACTTTTTGTTGATGCAGACATGGTCGATTTGATTTTGTGTAGTGTGATCCGGTGAAATCCAAGTGGCTTTGTGTATGTTTTTGTGTGGGAATATGGTGCCACCTATGACCAGTTTATTGAAGGCACATAGGTTTGCAAATCTCTCACCATTTTCGTTCCTTTCTCCCAGTCCATGTTGTCCCATGACGTCTTCGTATCCAGTGTTGTCCTTTCCAACCTTGGCATTGAAATCTCCCATCAGAATGGTCAGGTCCTTGGTTGGGCACTTCTCGAAGATTGACTGCAACCTATCGTAGAATTGGTTTTTAGCGTCTTCATCGTAGTCGTTGGTCGGCGCATAGCATTGGATGATGTTCATTGTAATGCCCTCTCTCTTTGTTCTGAAGGAGGCTTTGATGATCCTCGGTCCATGAGATTCCCATCCTATAAGTGCATTTTGTGCTTTTCTAGACAGCATCAATGCAACTCCTTGTGTATGTGGGGCATTTTCTTCTTCATGACCGGAGTATAACAGAAGTTCCCCTGAAGACAGTCGTTGTTGTCCAACCTGCGTCCAATGTGTTTCACTGATTCCAAGCACTTCCAGGTTGTATTTCCTCATTTCCGCAGAAATTTGGAAGACTCTGCCGGTCTCCCACATTGTCCGGACATTCCATGTACCTATAAAAATTGTCGCTCTGGTTGTAAGAAGGTGCATCGGCCTCATGACTTCCGAATGAACTCGGCTTTCATCATGAGACGTCATTTTTCCTTCTACTCCCAGGGCAGAGTTTGAATGGTTTGAATGATTTTTTTCTGGTTAGCGTTTTTTTAGCGAGTTGATTTTCTACGGGATGGGGTCGCTAACCCCATGCCCAACCCTCCTCCTTTACCCGGGCTTGGGACCGGCAGTAACCCCTGGAGGAGCTACAGGCGGAGTTTTTTCTGGAATTAAGCGTTCATTTATTCGAATGATAACGACATAACAGTTTGCTAAGATGTTGGCAAACTCACACATAATTTAATAATTACTGTGAATATCACAAGTTTTTAATAACCAACTAAAAACTTGTATGACTTCAAGTTTTTTATACTATAATTAATATAATAGATTTGTTATTTTGACTATATTTTGTTTTCATTTTCCTTATCATAATATGAAGATGATTTGATATTCAATGAATAAGAATCAGTGATAATTTCAAAAATGAACAAATGTAGACAATGAAAAACGTTCACTCTGAAAACTGTTTGTATAGAATAATTTTTGAGCGCACTTCTATTCATTAAGTAACAAACGCGTTGTTGCTGTACCTGGAGTTATCAATTGATTTATCTCGATTTCTGATACCCCTCCTCTATGCTGTATTTTGTTGATCATGTAAATATTAGGTAGAAAATGGCCTGGTGGTGGATCTATGATCAAATGTTGCTGATGTATTTATTTGTTAAATTACAGTCGAACCTTCTTTTTTGAATTGTATCAATAGGCATTTCAACAAATTGTTATTGCCAAATCACAGTGTTTGTTTCGTTTATAGATGTGGTCTTAAGCTATGGCGAATTTATAAGACAAGCATGTACAAGTTAGAAATTGAACAAAATGCTCTATTTACTGAAAATTAAATGAGTCATAATTTCTGTTGGTTATAGGTGTATTTATGAAAATGACTAAGATATTTATTTCTTTACTATACGGGGTTGTGCGGATTGCTGAATTTTTTAGTCTTACATCAGAGACCGGCTTTTGTAAAAAAATATTAATAGTCAAAAAGTATTGGATAAATATTTTACCTGAGCATGAGGCTCCACAAAAAATACCTCTGTTTGGAGCGAAATAGTTTTCACTAATGTTATAAAATGATCGTCGCGCTAAACCGTGAATATATATGCTACTGCTGCTGATACTAGATCTCTATTTCATCTGTCTCTAGCATTATTTTACTTCATAGTTTGATATCATGATTTCATTTAAAATGTCTACACTATTTGGTCCTTAGAAAAACTGAAATAAATCTCTGAAGTTTATTTTACCGCAAACTTTCACCATATGGGACCAGATTTTTATATTATCCGGTAGATCAACTATAAACAGTAGATTTTCATCACGATTGCTGATATATTGTTGACACTGGAAGTATGAAGATAGTATAGAATTTAGAGGAAATTAGAATATAATTTTTCTAATTCAAGGACTTTATAGGTTGAAGTATAAGTCTATCTTCAGGAATTTTTCAAAGAGATATCTACCTTGCTTTCATTTCAGACTGTTTCATCAAATTTAAATGTCTTTATCACAACCATTTGCATTTTATGATTTTAATGATTTGAGTTTATTATGACTACGGGATCATACGTACAGTTCAAAGATGACAATTCGGAACTTTGAATATTTAGGTGATACATGATAGTTGGATCTAAAACAAGATGAGTGCAATGAAACCTATATCTATATAATAATCAGATGAGTATTCTGGGTCAGTGATTAAAAAGCTAGTTAGTCAGTCATTATCAACGGAGGACATGGCGAAAATGTATATCGATCTATGTTACTTCATATCTACAGAGAAATGTGAAATTACTAAGGTGAATAGCAAAGAAATCGGAATGGCAGTTTCATGATTGATGGTAAGAATGAAAATATAGTTCAAAAAAGTAATAAGATATAAAGTATGAAGTACGTAATAGTATTGAAACACAAGATCTGTTTGAAGTTAAGGATGAATAGATCTGAACCACTGAGACGGATTTTGAGCCATGATACTGTAGTGACCTACTTTTATGACGAGAACGCGATTAGCATAGTGAAAACAATTATTATTATGACCAACTATACCAGTGGCTGTTTTACTGTACCTGTTTGCTTAAGTGTACTAATAACACACACATTCTTCCTTTGTCTGTTACCTTGCACGAACTCGCATACGTTCGGTAGTTCCGCTTGTAAACTTTGTTACGATCTCGGTATTCTTTTGGTGCCACGAGATCGCCAACAAATATATCTCATTACAACCGTCAATCGCCTTCTGGTTTTCGGCCTACAAAGGGATCCCACCTAATACCCGGCACGTGATCTTCCTGTGAAGGTGATCATAGTCAACCGCGATTCGACACCAACTACAATACACAACGCTTTATGATTATTGCGTAGAAGATTTCATAGGGATTAGTCTAAATTTTAAGACATCAAAAGTTCCCTTTTAATGCAGCTATTATCCCTGTTGGGAGGAAACGTACTCAGACATTCTAGGTGAATTCAAACATATTTCATCAGTACTAACGTGAAGTTCTGTGTTTATTACCTGTTTTACAACACAGTTGGTGTAATTGTTATCTAAAAATTGCTGAAATATAATTACGTAACTTATTTATACTTTTGATGTAATTGTATGTTTGTGCACATTTACTCAACAATCAATTGTATGTTGGTTGAAAGTTAAAGTAAATGGCACTCGAAATTAATAACGAATAGCTGATTCATCAGTGTCTGTCAGTCTTTTAATTTATGGGGTAACAACAGAAGTTGTAATTGTTTTCTACTATGTTCACAACAGTAAATATAACTTGTAAGTTATCAGTAAAGGTTAACTTTCTACAGTAAATTATCTTGGTGTCAGATAAAACAACAGGTTAGCCAATTAGAACATTTACGTCGAAGCTTACTAGTCGTTATGAAATACATATTTTCAGTTATTTAAAAAGTTAATGGTTATTTAGTTTTTAGAATTCAATGTTAAGGCATCACTACAAATGGATTTGATATAGGGAGCGATCTAAGTTAAATGACAATCGAAATCAAGTATTTTTTCCTTAAGTCCTAAATTACAAATTTGTCCCATTTATCTCTGTCCCAACATAATATATAATTTCAGATTAACAGCTATTGATAAACTCTACCACCTTTTACCGTATCATGAACTCGTGATAGCCTTTAAGTCAGAAGAAAAAAATACAGAATGGATATATGTGCGTGTGCACAAAATTTTGAATTCAGTATTTGTCCAAGTGTTTATTTCTGACTTCTTTTGCTAGTGCTTGTACTTTTGAAATGACGTCTTTGTCTGGCTGTTTGTCCATCTACTTGTCTGTCTGACTATTTAGTAATATTCAGACAGTCAATCTATCTAGTGATTAAACTTTATTCACACGGTTTTACTGCAATAAAGAAGTGAGGAATGAAGTCAAAAAGACATTATAAGTACCTAGGTTATTTATTAAAACTTAAGTAATTAACAATCACACCAAAGAGTCTACATCCTGTGTAGATTTTTGTGTCCAACCCATTTACTGGTGAGACAGATTCTATCGGTGGTTTCTTCCATGTAATTTTAACTCACTTAAAAAGAGTAGAGCGAATTCGCTTTTAGGAGATTCCAAGTTTAGCATGGATGATTATAACACGGAAGGTATTTTTTAAAATTTGGTAAAAGAAATTAAATCCTTAGTGGTGAGTTTAAATAGTAATGATTAATACTGCAATTCCCAGAGTAAACCCCTTTAATGAGTTATCTTCCTTTATCTAACTATATAATACTTTGAGTTTCTAACTATACTTATCCATTTGAATATACAATCGAGTCAGTACGTTAAGAAAACAAAGCCTTGGGTATGGACGAGTATTACCAAGAATGCACCAGAATGACCGTAGAGAGGGAAAAGTTTCGTCATTTAGTCTAAAAAGGGGACATGATTGACATAATACACTTGGGAGATTGGGATTGGTAACTGATTAACTTAATCCTTTGATGAGACATTCCTTCATATCGTTATACGAGCAACGCGTTTTAGGTTCGTTTGAGTCAAGATTACTCTCATAATTAACGATCTCTGCAAAAACAATGAGGTGCTTTCGATTCTAATAGCTATTCTGAAATGAGGCTTTGATGTTTATATATCTTGGATTATTCATTTGAAATTCTGACTTGTTTTGGGAAATATCATGCAAAATCGACCAGGTTTTTTAATATTTGCGTTGACAAATGACTAATAATTTAACAGTAAGATATCTGATATAGGACGTGGCTTATAAGTGAAGAATTTAGAAAATCATGCAAATATGCAAGATTGATTAACAGTGTATACTTTATAAACTTAATTTCCGAGATGGACATCTGAAAGTCCGTAAACTATTTGTCACATTTTCTGTGGCACAGAAACATATTTTGGATACGTAGGATCTATGCACTATAAATATTTTAGGAGCTTCAACAAGTAATCAGATTTTGAGTGAAACCAAGCCTACAGATTTGAACTTTATTTTCAAGACTCTTTTAAATAAGGAGGAAGGGTGTAACCCATATATTTCATTATTATTATTATTATTGGCTTTATTCAATATTATATTTCGGTACAGTGCAGAATTCTAAGCACGAGGTATTTCAACAAGTTTTTATTTTAACCAAAAACTAAAGAGAAATGAAAAAAGGTGAAAAAGTCTGAGTCTGTACAACTTATCAAATTTGAGACATGTTTAAGAATATAGGTTATTGACTACGTTAATTCTAACAACCTGTTCGTCACAGAGTATATTTTCTAGGTAAGGTATTACAGAACTTTTATAGATTTCCTCGCGTGTATGGATTTTAATGCATTTACGTCTTATTCTACCAGAAGACATGAATGAAGTAGATGGTTAGTATCTGATATGATAACACCTGCCAGGAGTTTGCAAGACTTAAGATGTCTATCCATAACCATGTTAATAATAAACTCCAAAGATTCACCAGACACCTAGATAACTGCCTTCAACACTCTCCATAGTACAGCAAAGTCTTTTCTCAAAAGCCTGTGAAAGAATAATGGAGAACAGTATAGAATAATAAGTAATTTGCAGGAACTGACAAATTGTAAGGATAAACGGAGAGTAATCACAAAAACATGCAGCCTCTTTCTATAGTAAGTCAAACGAAAAACCTTTTCGATAGAACTAAAACATGAGAAGACCAAGAGAGATCCCAGGAAAAAAAAACACCAAGATGGAGAAAAATGTATTATTTAGGAGCTAAAATTAGTATCGTGTGTGATGACCACTTACTGTGTTAGTGTAGTCACCCAGTTTTTCCCGCTACTTGGTGCACATTTGTAAATACTATGAATATACTCACCGGCTTTGTGTACCTGCTGAATTGGTCTCATCTATCATAATCAGGTAATAGTGTTCTGCTAGTTTCCTACAAACCATTGGGCAATGCTTTATGGTGTAGGAGCAGGTTGGAAGAAAGCTAGCGGCGGCCAGACCAAAACATGGCATAAATCCATGAAGTCACTGACAAGTGGACTGGGCCATGTTGGTAGGTGTGGACTACCTGGTTGGGATTCGCGAGATGATATCAACCGATGGTTAGAGACCTTGAATGACATGGCTCAAAATCGTTTGCAATGGCGAAGGTGCATCCACTCTTTGTGTTCTACCAAATTCTAATATGAATTCTTCGTCTGTATCCTTTTTCTCTTTCATTGTATTATACTACTTCAAACCCTAATCTTTCCGATTACTGCTTATACTCTTACTACTTCTACCATTATGGGATTTGAATCGACAACTTCCTCTCTGTGCTAATGTGGTATGGCAACTCGAACTGATGTACGTACGTACGAAGTTCTACGTTGTGACTGAGATCG